TCATGAAGGGATGTAGAAGTACCTTAATATTGGATGACTCCTTCTTAGAAGGTGGTATATGTCTCTTGCCAACATCCAAGAAAGAGGGTGGAAGATCCCTACAGTCCACCGCTGCTTTAAATTTACTATAAGTTGAATGTTGTTATGCCAAAGTTATTCATTATCGATAGACCACATCCGCTTCTGTAGTATGCTTCACTCTCTTTAATGTGAGCGATCTTGTTATGGGCAAGAAAAGGTGTTGACCGACTAGTGCCTAGTGTTGCACACCGTTACCCACACATATTTAGTGGTGATATACTGTTGCGCTTAAATGATGAGAAATACAATGGTTGGATATCGGGATTCTGCATGTATTGGCTCTGATAGCCAAGAACGGGTCCAGAATTTTGGATTGGATTGGGTTAGGTTTATGGCGGTCAGGAAAAAAGATAAAAAGTAATTAAACTAGACTTAAACATAATTTGAGTGATATGAAAAATTAAAAAAATTACACTAAAATATAAGAAAAAGTTGTGTTGCACTTGCACTTGCTTTACACTAAAATCGTTATGCCAAGATCATCGTCAATCTCCCGAATGGATCCAAGAAATTGTTCAGGATTATTCGCGATGCCGTTGTCAACCGTGCAAGTTTTGGTCACGGTTGTGATTGAATGCCCGCCCAACTGCCATGAAATGGTTTCTAGATAGTTGCGTTTCCATGAAACATATGGTGCAGCTGTGAGTTTTATTTGGTCAAGTTGGATAGATTTAGAAGATGTGGTGGTATTTAAATTCTCATCAGTCATCTGACCAAATCATTTGTTAACCGTTTATTGGGATGCCATGAAAATGTATCATCATCATTACCCCAGTGTCACAAAGGCACCCACACCTTCGGTGGAGTAAGGTGGGGTCGGATGTACGCAATCTTACCCCTGTACTAAAGCACAAAGAGACTGTTTTTAGACGATCCATAGTGAAAATCACGTCGAAAATTGCATGAACTGTCTGTTGCTTCATCACAAAGAAGCACAGACAGTTTAGTAAATCATTTTGCTTTATTCCATCATATTCACAAGCCAAAAAATAGCGAGTCTTTGGCTTCATTGCAAATGATGCAAATAGATGCCATGAAAACGTAAAAGAGAGAAAAACTTCACAGTCTTTCGCTCTTAATATCAAGAAGAGTTTGAATAATTGTTAATTACAGAGTAACATGTATCATTCACAAGATCGACATAGCTACATGCCTACATGAGCTCCTTAGGAATGGGAGATTATGAGTCCGTTTGGTAACACTTGAATTGGCTGAATCGGTTGAAATTTATAAAGTTCTTACTAACGGGACTGTATTGGCTGATTCTGTTAATTTATGCAAAAAATATATTTCAAATATACTATGTATTTTATTAATAAAATAAGGAAAAAATTATATTAGAAAATAGTTAAAATGATCATCTACGGTAACTTTAACCAATGCAGCCAGAAAAGTCACTCCAACCTTACGTTTTCTTATTATTTTAGAATTCAGCGCGCGAAATCAAAAGTCACGTGTTTGGTTTAAAAGTTGGCTAATAATCCTGATAAGCCGATAAACAGACTCACCAAACGGGCTCTATATGATACTCCCTTTGTCTCTTAAAACATTGCCAAGTTTGATTGGCGAGGAGAATAATAAAGTAAAAACTGTATGGTTGAGCATTATGCAGAGGAGAGAGAAATAAACAAAACCACAAATTAGTTGATTAAAAGGGAAAGTAGCAAAGTTCTTGGGATATCCCAAAAAGGAAACATGATAAAGTTTTAAAGGAAGGAGAGACTAGTTCACACCAGATAAGCCGAATTGATATATGAGATAATTCCCCAAGTAAGACCAAATAATGTTAAAAGTTCAATAATAGGACTGTAATGTTCAGTTATCTTCCGTTGGACTAAAAAGAGTTAGATAGACAAAACTACCCTTAATGAATAAATTAGTATTTATTAACAATTCAATTAAAATAATAGAAATAAAATTGATAGCAAGCCTAGACAATAAGATGCAGCCTTTGCAATAGGACCACAACCATCTCCATTGCCACTGTCGCCATCGCCGATGTCGGTGCCGCCACCTCCACCGGCGACGGCTGCGTCGCCGCCTCCGGCTCCACTAACGTCATCTCCGCCTCTGCCGGAGTCACCGCTGGACGCCTCCAACGGCGTCGCCTCCCCCATCCACCAGTGTCACTGATGGCCGCCTCCACTGATGTCGCCGCCAACCGCTTCACTGTCGTCCGCCACCAGATCTGAGATCTGGTTTGTGATTTGATAATATTGTCATACAAATACCATCTTGCAATTGTATTGCCATCTTAATGATAATATTGCCATCGTGAGAGAAATAAGATGTCATTTTCAGTTTGAAAAATGACATTAATGTCTTTCATAAGAGTATTGTTGCCATCTTTATATCTTTAGTTCCATAAAAATAGCATTTATTTTTGAAGTGAAATTTTCACATTTAGAGGATTGATATTAAATCGACATGTGTCATCTTGTAGTTGAAGTGTTATCATATTGTCATTACTGCGATCTTGACTGAAATAAAATTGTCATTATTGCCATCTTGACTGAAATAAAATGACATATTCACATTGAAAAAAATGACATTAATGCCATAAAAATGACAATCGTGCTTAAAGTGAGTTTTTCATATTCAAAGGAATAATATTATAAAGGTACTCATATTATTCTGAAATTAGCTTCCAATAGATGGTATTTTTTGGGAAAATAATAATAATGATGATGTAATTTTTGTTTTCAAAAATATTAAAAAAATAAAAAACCGAAATATCTAACATAAGTTTTTCGTTTTCAAAAATAAAAACCGACAAATAAAAAATCAGAGGAGAAGCACAACAATGAAGAAGAAGAAGAAGAAGAAGAAGAAGAAGAAGAAGAAGAAGAAGAAGAAGAAGAAGAAGAGGAAGAAGAAGAAGAAGAAGAGGAAGAAGAAGAGGAAGAAGAAGAGGACGAAGAGGAGGAAGAGGAGGAAGAGGAAGAGGAGGAAGAGGAAGAGGAGGAAGAGGAGGAAGAAGGGGAAGAAGAGGAGGAAGAAGAGGAGGAAGAGGAGGAAGAGGAGGAAGAAGAGGAAGAAGAGGAGGAGGAAGAGGAGGAGGAAGAGGAGGAGGAAGAGGAAGAAGAAGAGGAAGAAGAAGAGGAAGAAGAAGAGGAGGAAGAAGAGGAGGAAGAAGAAGAGGAGGAAGAAGAAGAGGAGGAGGGGGAGGAGGAAGAAGAAGAATTTAGTTGTATTGAAAATCTGGAGATACGTGAGAACTGGAAGATAAGGTTAGGCTGGAGCAGATCTATTACGTGAAAGAGCTTGTGTCCAGATCTAATTTGTTGCTTAAAGAGAAAAGAGAGGGGGAGAGAAGAAAGGAGAGAGGAGAGAGAGAAGGGAAAAATGGTTGGTGCGTGTGTAAAAGTTGTGCGTGAGAAAAAAAGGGTAGAATAGGAATAAAATAGAAAACAATCCTATTTTGGCAATAAAAAAACTTGTAGTCCTATTCTTGTATTAATCATCTATTTTAATGATTTAATCCTATTTAGATCAATAACTTTTGATATATTCTTAGTGATACCACAGCGGTTGAAATTGATACAATAACGATCATTCTTTGTGTGACATTGGCTTTACACGCTCATAAAGACAATTATGTACCTTCGTTTCAAACATTCTGCATTTTTTTGACGAATTGTTTTTATAACCGGACAACTAAGGAGTTGTGTATAAAAATTGTATAAAATGACATGTATAAACAGATTTTCCTAAAAAACAAATAACCTATGTTAGACCACTTGGAGTGGTGTAGGATTAGGAGTCTAAAATGTTAAAAGTGGAATTTTTTGACTCTTAATTGCTTGTTGTGGTTGGCTAAATGAGGAAGTAAAAATGGAGAAGAGGATGGAGGGGATTATCTTTGAAGGGTCTCAATGCAAGAGGTCAAAATAAAAAAGGAAGGGGAGGGGCAACACCTGTTGTGCCCAGAGGGGAATTGTTTGCCAAAGTGATGTCGTGCTCATGTCATCGTTGCATTATAATATCCCAAGTTTTTTAGAACTTGTATAACTTTTTTATACGTTCTCCAATTTTTTCAAAATATATATCAAAATTCATAAAATTTTATGATCTTTCATATGACACCAATATATAATCTATAAAATGAAACAAAAAATCTTAAATTATAACTATTGAAGTTTTCTTCAGTATAAAAAATGAAGAAACACAAATTTTTAATTCATGGAGTCTTCACAAATAACCGACTATTTTATAATCGAACATTACTTGAACAAAGTTCATTTTTTGTTAACCGAAAAACATTAAAAAATTAATGAAATTTATTTACTCTTACATCGAAATGTGTATTTTTTATTTCATAATTATTCAGGAAAAAAATTAAAAGAAAAAAATTACTTATAATAATTTAATTAATGGTTTACTAAATTAATATGTAAAAAAATGTGCAGAGTGTATTTTATTGACGGTGCTGGAATGCAGAGAAATGAGAGTCAAAACACTGTTTTCATATGGACGGAATCCATTTTTGACATTTAGACTCTCACGCCACTCCAAATGGTCTTACTTTCTTTTAGACGTCCCAATTGGCGGTACCATCTGGAATTAGGGTCGAAATCATTTGACCAATCATCTTCGGTTACAATCTCTAAAAAGTATGAGTAGTTATTTAAGTAGAAATTGCCCTAAATAGGAGTAAAAACGCTCTGAAATTCCAAAATAGAAGTATCATATTTTTTATTCTTTGAATAGGAATAATCTACCATGTTTGGAAAAAATGACATGTTTAATAGCCTAGTAATGCCAAACTTGTCAGAAATTTACTCCTATTTAGGAAATAAAAAACATGATACTCCTATTTTGGAATTTCAGAACTTTTTTACTTCTGTTTAGGAAATGTAGTCTTATTTAATGCATAAATCAATGCCATCAAACTGGAACTTAGATTAGTTGGACCAAATCACGAAGTCAAACATGTTAAACTATTGAGGCTACCAAATAAAACTTTTTTGCTAAAATTCAAATAGTACCAAACTGAAACAATTCCATACTCCGTATATGCGTAGCAAACTGACCAATTCTTGAAATACCAAAATAAATGAATACTGGTAATGATGATAGCATTTATACAATTACCCCAGATAAGAAATCCTTGAAACAGGGGTGGGTGGGTTAGTTAACAATTAATAGCGTGAAAGCCACAAAACTCTACTTTAAATACAGAATTGCAACTTGTTATGAATGTAAAGGAACCAAAGACATGACAAGAGAGTGAAGAATATCCCAGCTGCTATGTAAGTATGTATCTCGAACATTGCAGACTCATTTGTATGACCTATTTACAGATTATGAATATAAACTGGTAGCACACTCATTGCAGCGCAGTGGAAACATGATAATGATTATTATTGATAATTTTGCAGATATATGTAATAGAATTGACTTAAGAAAATTGGCCAAATGCAGCATGATGAAGTCTCTGAAAATGCTTACTGCTGTTATACATGGATTGGTTGTGAAGCCAAGCAGCAGTTGTAGCCGCACTAGCAGTAGTACTCAAAGGAGGAGACCCTTGCTCTGCTGCTGCTGCTGTGAATTGTGCTTCCGATTTCACTTCATTGTACAATTCTTGATGATGATCGGGGAGGGCATGGTTCGGAACGGAAGCGCCGCCAAGCAAGACTGGTGAGGGGACATATTCTGACCATCTGATTTCATCAAGATCGCCGTCCCTCTCCTGTTTCCCATTCGAACCGCTGCCAACCCCCCAAGAAAACGCATTGGGTTCGAAGAAAGATGAGTTGCTGCTTAGTTCCATGGGGTGAACACCATTTGGGATGTTGGAGCTTTGCTTCGAAACCATGTGATCCGATGAGGGCTTGAAGAAGAGGGCGCTGCTTCTGTCATCGTCGCCGTGATGATGAAGATGGTGCGGTGGCAGAGGAAAGGGTGGAGATGATCCCAGGTTGCTGCTGGCACCACTGTAATTCAATAAAGAGAGGTAACTCGACAAATCAGATGATGTCTTGTTGTTGAGGAAGAACTGATGATGTGTGGCGGGTGAGCTCATTCGATTACTGTCCATCATCCGATGGTAGCGGCCGTCCATGGCTGCCTGCAAGGACGACGGCGGCAGCTGCTGATGAGGCTTCTCTGCTGCACTCATTCCTGTGCCTGAAAACACATGAAGAGCACTGCTCTTACTGCTGTTTTCATCAGCTTCTGCGCCATAGTTTAGCTCGCTGGACCCTTCGGATAGCGCTGCCAATATGTCATTGTTGGCCGCGGCGTTGAGAGATTCTTTTTCTTCGCTCTCGGCCTCAGACAATGGTTTGTGTGTGTTTGGGTCGATCCCCTTCTGCCTCAGCTTCTTCTTGATCGATGAATTCCACAGATTCTTGATTTCGTTATCCGTCCTCCCGGGCAATCTCGATGCAATTTGAGACCACCTGATACATTTTCATATACTTATTTCTTATAGGACTTGGAGATTGGAGTAATTTTTTGACAGACACAATTCAAAACATTGCTTTATATTTTAAAGTGTGTGGACTTTATAAATTTAAAAAGTATATCCACATCACAATACACAGTACATAGTTGACATTATATGCTTACTTGTTGCCTAGAACTGCATGGAGTTCAATTATCATATTCTCCTCCTCCTGGGAAAATGTGCCTCTTTTCAAATCAGGCCTCAGGTAGTTAATCCACCTCAACCTGCAGCTCTTCCCACACCTCTGCAGTCCTGTGAACACCAGGCCAATACAAAACTTGTCAATTGCAATTCAATTTCCCATTTTCTCCATTGGTCTTGTTATTGGAAAAGCCAAAATTGCATCTGTATCGGAAACAAATTAGAAAATATAACTTTATTGTGTATATTCATTTAGTGGATGAGAAGTGAAAACATATATTTTTACTATTAAATGAAAGCAGTAGGTATAAATTGGTTTATTTCCGGCCATAAAGTTGAGATCTTTAATAAGTTGGTACCACAGCAGTGAGCAATAGGTACAATAATGAATGCCATTATTGTTCACAGGAAAGGAAAATACCAGCTAGCTTTGGAACTGAGCTCCAGCAGCCATGCCCATAAGTAGTAATATGCTTTATGAGCTTCTCATCTTCTTCCGGAGACCAAAGACCTTTCCTCAGCTTCTGCTTGTAACAGCAAGAATGCCTACCCATGTGGTATCAATTCAAGACAATCAGCTGCAAAATGTTCTCTTTTCTATTTTTAACGTTGTATGAGTTGCGTTCTTGCCCAAGGGAGAAGGGGTTGTGGAAAATGAAAGGCTAAAGTGGACGGAACGAACTGATTTCAGTGCTTCGGATTGGAGCCCTATAAAACACTGGAGGTCTTATTCAGCGGATAATTCTACTTTTTATTTTTTCTATAAAAAAGGACACAAATTATTGTATTTTTTAAAGAGGTTCGGACTCTTGGTTTTATTTTTTAAGGAAATGTGAAGATGGATGTCTCTATTATATAAAATCTGATTTGCTGGGTCTTATCAAGGTTCTTGAGAAATAATTAATGAACTCGACAGCACTTGTGGGGCATCAGGACAGATATTTATTTGGTGGAAATAAAGATAAAGCAAAATCAAAATACAATTATTAATTGCACTTAAAATTTCAGTAAATAACGAATAACGATTTTGTGTGCCTAAAACCTTGCATGTTACTCCGTACTAGTCATCTCACAATCATATTTCAATTTTCTCAATGAAAAACTTATATTAGAATTTCATAAACTCCTAGATGTTCACCGGAACTGACACACTCAATCGAGTCACAAGCCATATGATTAGAAATAGAGTCAATCGTCTTAAAATAAGTGCAAGAACTCATTAATCTCAAAACGGGCAACTTGAAACCTATAATGACTAAATTGTCGTTTCTACCGTCCAGACTATTAGTTACCACACTTAAACACATCCATTTCTCCTGAATGAAAACTCAACTCACGCAACAGAATTGAAAACGTGAACTAAACCGATAAAAGAAAGAGAATGAAAAGGAAAAACAATGTGAAAGTAAGATTGAAACGAACACCTGAGTTTGAACTTCCATGTGGGCCTAATCCGCCAGACCCGCCTTGCACCCGTTTTTTGAACTTGTCTTTCAACCTCCATGGCAATGTAATCCTCTTCCTCTTCTGAACTTGCAAATTGTGCCTTCATCTTTAGCCTGTCATATCCTTCTACACACCAAAATCTCGCGTTGGAAGGCCTAGTTAGACCTTCCCTCAGATTAGTACATGAGTCTCGTCCATATCTGAAACAAAACTCAAAACAGATTCTTGCCTCAAGAAATTAGTCGAACACTGAAAATAAACTGTCTTTCCGTCCGATGCTGCCAATCTCCGCTTACGCTGGGCGACGACCACACTCAACACCGAACTTGTTGTCATCGCTTCCACATTCAACACTGCAGCCACCACGTCCAAATGCACAACCACCTTCAACCAGATTGAGCAGAAACGTAGAACCTAAAGCTGTAACCGGTTCACGACCCTGATCTGGCCCACAAACACACAAGAACATCAAACAAAGCCGCACCATCCTTCAGCTATGGCTGAAGAGGGCAAAAATGTACCAAAACCCCAATAGAGGGAGACGTACCACTTTTTTGTTAGGTGTTTACTATCATAATTCAATTTAGTTTCTTAATTTGCATATCATAATTTATAATATTCCTTTTTGTTGGTTTCACACTTTAGTAAAATTTTAATAACTTCCATTCAGCTAAGACTTTAACTGGGACATTAGAATGTGTTAACGTTACACTGTATGTATTCATGCGCTAATTGTTTAGTCCATCAATCTACACCTTTAGCAAAGTCTCACGCTACTCTTAACTGTTGAAGTGCTCATGTCGGACTCTGTTACTCAAACAAATGTAAGAGAAATTGTATCCTACAAACCAAGAGTTTGTATTTTTCCTTGATTGATTTATTGATAACTGAGGCAGTCATGGAATCTATCTCTACATGTAAAATTCTTCAATGACAGAGCCTTTAGGAGTGCACCAAATCCACCCCTCCAGTGCACAACTGTTTTGTAAAATTTCGACTCTCATGAATCATGACCAAAGTGAAAAACTTGGAGCCGTTAGGATTATAGATGTTTTTCCTTGAAGGAATATATTTGATCATAACATCTCCATTGACTCAAAATATTTTCAAAACATCAATGTATATTTTTGTACATGATTTGGGACTAGTTTTGTATGATTGCGCTCTGAATTTCTCAATGATCTTCCTGATAAGTAACATGTCCATTTGAATGATTTATTATATGATATTATACTTGATGTTTTGTGAAAACATGCTATTTGAGTTGCAACATTGATGAATACTCTTGAGAATTTATTTTACATTATATTTATCTAGCTTTGGCCTATGTAATTGGCATGTATTGTTTAAATTGCTACTTCTTAGATATGCACTATTTATTCATTATCTTTTCATTTACTCTATTCATATTATCTCTTCATATGAAGATTTTATCATTCTTGAAATTGTTTTCTACGCACATGATCAAATCATCGTGATCGAGCCTCCCACATCTTATCTTCAATAGATGTTAATCCCATATTTTGTCTGATTGTCTCATTTCTCAAGCGGACTTTTTTAGTAAGTCCACATATTCAACGCATCATGCCCATCTATGCAACACTCATCTTTTGAATGTAACATTATTTTACCGCCCAACACTCTATGTCATGTAGTAATGTGACATCTTTTGATATCCCATAAAATTTACCCTTCAATCATGTCTATAGTATACTTCAATCGCATAGAAATCCGGATGCACTCTTCCATTTCATCCACCTTGTTCTGATTCTATGGGATACATCTTCATCTAGTTCACCTTGTACTGTTTCACTTGTATTTTTAGAAGATATGCCTTCTTTGGTGAGGTTATGGCCTAGTCCCCTCAGTTATGTATTTAAAATATTTTTTATTAATAAAACTCGGTAAATGTTGTCCTTTACCCCACCAACTTAGGTGATTTACCTACCTGGGTTTAAAAAAATGGAGCCTAGGTAACGTAACATTTCATTGACCGCTATCTCCTTACCATCCACGGTAATCCCATTAATACCATTGCTTCTACCTCCACCAAAAAGCACGCTATATACTCAATCTTGCTCCGACTTAGTTTGCAACCCTTGTTCTCCAATGTTTTCGCCATATTTCCAACTTTGCTTTAACATCCGATTGTGCATCATCAATCAATACAATATCATTGGCAAACATCATGCCGCACCACAATATATCTTCTTGAATTGACTGCATAAATTCATCCATGACTATTGCAAAAACAGAACTCAGAGCCGATCCTTGGTGTACTTTGATCATAATAGGGAACTCTGCAGTCTTCCCTACAATAGTACAGACACTTGTACGTAGTACAATCCTCATACATATCTATGATAATGCAAATATACTTACGGGATATGCTTTTTCTACTTAAGGTCCACTGATATAAGTTTTCCCGCACTTAAAATAATGTAGCAGTATAGGGTATATTGACGAGTATCATCTCCACAGGGACGGAAAAAAGGAATTAAGTATTAAATCATTTCAGTGATTAAAATAAATAAATAAATAAAAGCGATTGTGAGAGATTTGGGTTTTTGAATTAAATGTTGCGAATGAAAAGCTAAATTAAAGGGCTCTTTCTAATTAATGACAGAAGAAAAACATAGATTGATTTTGGGGGCAACCAGATTTCGGAGCTGATCAGACTTGATCTCATGAAAATTATTTAATTGAGCAACGCAGATCAATACTAAGTTCTTACCGCTCTCGCGGCATAGAGTGCAATAATTTAGATACCCAAACTGATCTCTCATGCGACAAGTTTCTAAATTATTTCCAAAATGAGCGAGTGTACAACTCCCTGGCCGTGCTAATCTCTTAGCCAACGATTAGGTGTGTGTGAAGCTGTCCTAGAACAATTTAGATCTCTCTTAAATTATTCTTTGTGGAATTATAATCCTAGCGGTTGTTCCAGGTTACAAAAGATAACAATTCAAATATTCAGACACAAATTAAATAATAATCATGCAATTATGTCATCAAGAATTAAACCATAGATCAACCCTTCATCAACCCCAAATCCCTAATTCAAACTACTCACAATTCATAATTGAAGAATCAACAGATTTGGGAAAGTAGAAATTAATTGTCATTAATTAAAAAGGAGAAAGTACTCACAAACAATCCCAAAATTTTGAAGATCCAATGTTGAAACACAGAATAAAATTCGTCATTAGGTGGTCTTTAAAGTCGGTCTAGCCTAAAATTGGGGTTTACAGCTGTTTAAAAAGAAAAAGTAGAAATTTGGGCCGAAATACGGCCCTTTTTGGTCATGTGCACGGCGTTCATGTGTATGGCAGATGAAACGCGTAAATACCGTAGCGCACAGCATGGGTGGAAAGTGTGCACGGCGTCCAATAGCCTCACCGAAAATTTGCTTTCCACGCACGATGTGCCCGTTCCATGCGCACCTCCTGTCTGAATTTGCCTATATTTTGTATCTAATGAAGTCTTCTATGCACAAGAACAATAAAATCTGGAATTGAATCATCTGATCAAAAGATATGGATGAAATGGTGGAGAGTTGCATCCTGAAATCGCAATAGCGATTATCTGACTTCATCATCTGTCTTTCCTATCACATTCTCGTCATGGTGTTTTCATGTATTTGTAGCCCATTGAGTTATCTTTCATATGAAACTTGAATCGTTTCATTTTGAGTTTTGTTGGAGAAGATATGCTCAAACAATTGAGTGAGCATCATCCTTGAGCTCCATGTTCGTTCTCGTACTTGATCCTTGAGCTCCCTTGACTTCAAAAATGCATCTTTAATGCCTCGTACACCTTCAATGCTTCTAAAATCATCTCGAATAATTCTTCAACCCTGCCGGTCTCAAAATTTTCGATTGTAACTCTAAAAACCAAACACAACACAAAACCCCGTAAACTATTACTTGAGCTAATTAGATGTTTGTGACACATTTAAGTTAAGAAAATGGGAAAATATCAATCCCAACATGCATCAAATGTGAGTTGAAATATGGACTTATCAACTCCCCCACACTTACGCTTTTGCTTGTCTTAAGAAAATTGAGCCTCAGGCCACACAAAAATGTTGCTGGAATTCAAGTAATCATTAGCAAGCAGAGGCGTACTCGGGTGTATATTCAGAGAAAGAACATAAAATCAAGTGAACTCTTACTTAAACAATTTCTTTGTGCCCCGACTAAAATAAATGAAAAGAGTGACTAGAAAATCTTCAAAGTTTTGCAGCCCACAACATTTAAACTTGTTTTCAATCAAAAGGACTTGTAAAGGTGATGGTCAAAGGTGGAAATATTCCTTACATTAAATTGGAACATCCTGACAGCGACTCAATGTTTTTGGGTGATTCGGAGATATTACAAGGAGAAAAGAATTCAACAAGATACTTAAACCGGAACTATCCTCTATCTCTATGCAGAATATGACAACATCCATGTGAACTACTAATCATTACGAGATCAAGCCGATAGTGATGAACATGGTTTATAACATTCAATTTAATTTGGAGGAGGACCAATTGAAGACCATGTGGCACATAACACTCATTTCCTGAAGATGTGCTAAACTTTCAATATTCTCGGGGTGGCTGATGACCAAGTGAGAATGATGTTTTTCTCATTTTCACCGAGAGATGATGCACAAAGATGTTTGAACAGCAATCCACACCACCATTTGCAAACTTAGGACCGGTTGCACAATGTCTTCATCAAAGAGTACTTCCAAACATCTAAGGCATTGAAATTGAAAAAGCAGGTGCAGGAATTCAAGTAAGGATCATTGGAGTCTCTGTCTGAAGCATGGAAGAGATTCAATGTGCTTAGATGATCTTGCCCCAGGGAAAGATGAGTAATTGTGAGATCATCTCCTATTTCTGTAGTGACATTAATGATGAAAGGTGGATGATGATGGGTGGTTCTGCAAATGGGTCTTTTCCAGATCTGCAAGCTAAAGATGCAGAAGCACTGATAGAGCAGATAATGGCAAATGATGCATCTTGGTGCAACTTAATGAGTTCAGCCCAACAAAAAGTTCCAGGCCTATACAAGATAAGTGAGAGTTCGGCCATAAATGCACGAGTGGATTTTGTGCCTAGTGTGAATATGGTAGCCCCTGGACCCATTAGTCCATCTTGTAGTTTCTGTGGGGTCTCCATTGCCCAAATGAATGCACTATGGAGGTTTTATTTTGGAGTGAAACTTGATAGTCTGGTCTCATCTGGTCTGGTTTAGTTTGTTTAAATCTGGTCTGGTCTGGTAAATATCCGGTCTCTATGTATTTTAAAACTATTTAAGTCTGGTATGGTTTATTTAAGTCTGGTATGATCTGGTATGTTTAAGTCTAGTCTGGTCTGATCTGGTCTGGTCTGGGGACTGAAAATAATCCAAAAGAAAAACATCATATTATGGCCACCAACTTGGCAGCCCTCGAGTGGATAAGGTTGATGCCATAAATTTTCAGACACATGGTTATTACAATGAGCTCTACAATCAACAGTAGTGGGGAGGGAGGGATTACGGGAATGGAAACCAACAGTGGAAGAACTAGAATAAGACCAGGCAACTCCAAGTACCTAAGCCCACCTCATGCACCCTACCAAGGGCTAAACAGAAGAACTCAAAACGGGAAGAGATACTCAAGAAGTTCATGCAAAAAAATGCAGCGAGTTTTCAGAACCTACAAAACTAAATGGCTGAGCTTGTTGAAAAGGCCCAATCTAAGAGGCCTAAGGATCCCTCCCTAGCAACATTGAAAATAACCCAAAGGAGCATGTACAAGCAATCACGTTGAGGAGTGGGAGGGATCTTGAGACAGGTGCACCAACAAAGAAATCCAAAGAAGTTGAACCCGTAGAACTTGTCCTGGAGGAAGAAAAGAAGAGGAAGACGGATGCAGCCCATAAACAGCCTATATCAGTCAAGGCTTACTGTCTTCCTCTCCCCTTTCCAGCCCGCCTGAAGAGTACGAGCAACTATGATCAATTTAGCAAGTTCATCAATCTCATAAAACAAGTTCAAATTAATACCCCATTTGTTGATGCACTATCGCAAATGCCAAAGTACGCAAAATTCATGAAAGACCTGCTCAAGAACAAGAGGAAGTTAGAAGAAACATTCATAGTGGTGTTGAATGAATAATGCTTAGCCGTGTTGCTTAAAGATATGCCCAAAAAGCTCAAGAATCCAGGTAAGTTTACTATCCCTTATCAGATAGGTGATTTGAGTTTTGATAGGGCCTTAGCTAATTTGGATGCAAGCATGAATTTGATGTCTTCTGACTTATGCACTGGTGATTTGATGTTTTCTTTTCTTTTAGAAAGCCCCCAAAAATAAATAAAAAAGGATATTTTTTGTGTATTTTTGTGATATGTTTTTGCAGCTCCGAGTTCTCCCAAGATATGATGTGTCGTTGAAATTGTTCACTCCATGTGTCTGGTGAACAAAACAAAGACCTAGGAGAATTTCCACAGTCCTTTCTTGTTTATTTTCGTTTACTTGAGTTAGTTGTGCACACGTGACTCATTCCTCTTTATGCCCAAGATCATTGTTGCATTAATTTAAGGCATCGAGGGCAATGCCAAAGTTTAAGTGTGAGAGAGTGCATTGGACTTTGGGCATTTAGTTGTGTGATTTCAGTATTATTAGTGTGCGCATGAGTCGTTTGTATATTTGTGAAAATTTCATGTAATTTTTTTGTGAGTTTACTCTTATTTAAGCTTCGTCTTTGTGAACTAATTAGGTTGTTGCACTAGATTGATTAACATGTTTTCAAAATTTAGTACTCCCTCCGTCCCGTTGGAATGTTCCCGTTCGGTTTACGATGCTTGACTGACGATAAAGCAACTTGATCCCTGTTCACACTCCGCTTATTTTTAGTAAATAAAATATACATATTCAGAAACTACATTAAAACCGCTACAAAGCCTGATCAAGAAAAGTTCAATTGATAAAAATTTGATATATAAAGTAAAAGATTAGGAGTGACCTAAGTTGACCAATGAATAGTGAATAGGAACATTCCAACGGGACGGAGGGAGTATTAAATTGCGTGCACCGTTTTTCTTGTTATTGAGATGAAGAAAGAATTAGTCACCCTTGTAAAAAATATTGTTTCCTAGCCATGAGAAAGTCCTTTAGGATAAATAAACTATTTTGAGTCTGACGTTTTGTTCACTAACCAATTTTGAGCTACAGATCCTAAATGACCTTTATTCTTACCCGGGAACAGTTTTGATAGTGTTTCGGTGTCTAGGGTGTTAGGGGCGATTTTGCTGTGATTAGGAAATTATTTGAGAGCCATTTGTTGGCATTGTTCCTATGCCCCAAATGGGGTAAGAGCACACACTTTTCTAGGAATTTGATATCTTGATAATTGCATTGCAAGCATCGATTCACTTTGTTAATAAACTATAATTTCTAAATTTTACTTGATGAGGTCGAGATTAGATTGATTCAATCAGTCAAAAAACGTATGTGTTTGCCAGGGCCGGCTTAATAAGTTAGGAGGCCCGGTGCAAATCACACAAAGTAGGCTTTATATTTAATAAATGCACAAATAACATACCACAAATCAACCCTAAAATATAACCCTAAAAAGGGATCACAATCACAACAAAAGTATTGTTTTTAACCCGATGAGCAAACCACAAAAATCAGTGGGATAAGTGTCGGGGAACACTTGCCGGATATTATAAAAGCAACAGAAATAAGATGCACAGGGGGGCATAAAATCTTACCCATAACCCAAAGAAGCCTCAAAAAGAGGCAAAAGCAAATAAGAAAATAAAAAACTACACCACAAGATAAGGGAAAGAATCCCTATCCAAAATAATAGCACCCCACAACTCCCTAGGAAGATCATCTCCTTTCCTCCAAGAGCAAATAAAGTGTTGGCCCAATTTAGCCACCACTTTGGCAGCCTTATTGGTCTGATCCGGAGCAATTATCCAAACAGGCCTCAAACCCCCCCGCCCAATCTCCTTATCCACCTGAGACCGACCACACTTGTAACACCTCGGGGCCCCACACGGACCCAATGTAGTTACTCTAAACCTCTAGTACTGTCCCCACAAACCACCACGAGCCTTTACCGCACACTTTGTCCTCACTCATGCGTGCCCTGAGAAACTTCCCAGGGGGTCACCCATCCCAAGACTACTCTCGTGCAAGCACGCTGAACTTTGTAGTTCTTGGGTGATTAGCTCCCTTAAAAGGAGATGCACCTCTGTTGGTATGCGTTTAATCCTCTTAATTTAATCTTGGGTATTACAATTACCCCCACTTAGGATTGCAACTTCCTCGTTGCGCCCTTAACAATCTCAATCGAACCCCAGAATCTTGCCCTGCTAAGTGCCCTGCCCGATATCCAACGGGTCAACACACTGTCGCAGGGTTGCTCTGATACCACCTGTAACACCTTGGGGGCCCACACGGACCCGAGGTAGTTACTCTAGACCTCTAGTACTGTCCCCACAAACCACCATGAGCCTTTACCGCGCACTTTATCCTCACTCATGCTCGCCCTGAGAAACTTCCCAAGGGGTCACCCATCCCAAGACTACTCCCGTGCAAGCACGCTTAACTTTGTAGTTCTTGGGTGATGAGCTCCCTTAAAAGGAGATGCACCTCTGTTTGTATGAGTAGTACTATTAATCCTCTTAAATTAATCTCGGGTATTACAACACTCCACCAGTCTGCTACTAGAGACTTCGATTTCCAAAAAAGGCAAACCAAACGAAACAATCCATTCCACTGCCATGCGTAAAGCATCTTCCTCCTCCGTCGATCCACTTAGCGGAAATCCTTTCGCTGCAACCACAGCTCCGTCATGATCACGCAGCAGAAAACCAGCAGAAGACTTCCCGTTTTGCCTGAACACCGCCCAATTCAATTTCACATGAAGATGCTTTGGTTTTCTCCAATTTAAGATTCGAGGCTTTTTAATCCCAAAATTGCTAGGTAAGAAACCTATCTCTTTCAGTCTTTCATGATCCCTCAAATGTTCATTTGCATAACACCAATTGAGCATGTATGTACAGATTTGCCGAATAAGCACGTCCTTCTCTATTACAATATCATTCCAATTTGCATCCCAAAAAGCCTTCCAAATATGCCAAACAATAACCCCTGGCAAAATCAAAAAATATGTTGTTGTCATGGATTTACCTGAAAAGCTTATCCACCATTTCACAATTTCATTTTTGATTTTGCTAACTTTCTTTCCTCCCTCAATCAACGAACTCCCAAAGAAAGACCATATGGAGTTAGCTAACGGACAAAGAAGCAGAACATGATCCTCCGTAGCACAATCTGCTTTACACAGGGGACATCTGGAAGGGAAAGCAGCCAAGAAAGTAGCTTTCTGCTCAGGAAATGGTAGACTCTTATTCCATAATCTCCATAGGAAAACCCTAATTTTAGGGACTTGCTTAGAGTGCCAAATCTGTTTGTTTACCATATGTCTTTCCCCTGCGGCCAGAGTGCTTGATAAGCTGATTTGGTTGTAAAATTTCCATCTTTTGTATTCACAACAAAAGTAAATATAGTCACTAAAAGAAATACTCCGTATAAAATTCCGTTAAAAAAAGAAATATAAAATAATAAATAACGTTGCGAAATTATAAATTAAGAAATCAAATAAGAAAAGGTAACTGATTTTACTACCTTTAGTTACGTTTGAATGTTTGATGACTTGGATAGTTTATAAATGAATGGCTCAGGCAAATTGATAGAGTATATATCTAGAGAGAAGTGAGAGCTAGAGAGAGAAGTAGTATAATTACTCTGTATTAATGATTTGTGTGAACCCTTTATATGGCTCCCAAGGGAAGTATTTATAGAGGAAATTAGGGCCGGGCTCCCAAGTACAAGGAGTGTAAAAATAACTAAGTATGAAATCCGGTTCTGGGATTTCTCTGTGGCCGAAGGAGGTTCAGCCGAAGGAGGCGCCTTGCCGATGGGGACACGGCCGACGGAGGACCATCGGAGCTGATTGCTGCCTGGGCCATATTCTGAGCTGACTGTTGCCTGGCCGACGGGGGCACCGGCCGATGGAGGCACTGGCCGACGGGGGCACCGGCCGAAGGGGGCACCGGCCGATGGAGGACAATTCTTCTCCTTGGCTTCTGGACCGTATTCTGGATCGACTCTTCTTCGGCCGATGGAGGGCCACCTGGCCGAAGGAGGACCCACTGGGTGACAGCTACACTTCATCTTAGTCTTCTGAGTATGTGGGTCATGGGGTCTGGACCCATATACTCCATCAGGAGTCCCCCACTCTCTGAGCTGAGATGCAGACGAAGTGAAAGGGAGTAGATCCTTGTCGTTCTGACGCTTTGGCCGACGGAGGGTTACCTGGGAATTGTAGTGTTCCTGGCCGAGGCGGTGCCATAATTGTTGGCTGCCTTGCCCTTCATTTCGAGGACGATGAATGTTCTTCATTCCGAGATGATGAATGCCCTTCATTTCGAGGACGACGAATGTCCTTCATTTTGAGGACGATGAATGTCCTTCATTTTGAGGATGATGAATGTCCTTCGTTTTGAGGACGATGAGTGTCCTTCATTTTGAGGACGATGGATGTCCTTCATTTTGAGGACGATGAATGTCATCCGTTTCGAGGACGATGGATGTCCTTCACTTTGAGGACGATGAGCGTCCTTCGTTTCGAGGACGATGGACGTCCTTCACTTTGAGGACGATGAATGTCCTCCGTTTTGAGGACGGTGGTTGTCCTTCACCTTGAGGACGATGAGCGTCCTTCGTTTCGAGGACGATGGATGTCCTTCACTTTGAGGACGATGAGGGCCCTGGACCAGAGGACGTTGTGCGCCCTTGGCTCTGTGGACGAAGAATGTCCTGCCCTTGTGCTTTTGACTTTAGTTGATAGATCTTATGCTTGCGGACGTTCGTGGTGCGTTCGTTTTGTTCGTGATATGGACAATGAATGTCATAGTCCCGGAGACGATGCGTGCCATTGGCCTTTAGGACGAGGAGTGTCCTTGGCTTCGAGGACGATACATGCTCTTGATCTTTAGGACGATGTGTGTCCTTGACATTGAGGACAATGTGCGTCCTGCTTTGCGCTTCGGCATGGCCGAAGGGTTAACACATGGTTGTTAGACGTTTGAGGTACCATTGTCATGAGCTTGTGTTCGTTGGATTTTGAACTTGTTTATCTTTGCGCTGGAGGGCGATGTAGTCCCCCAGACCTTCTTCTGGCCGATGGAGACCTGGCCGACAGAGGTACCACTTGGTAGTCCTTGCTTGTTGTTGCTTTCTGGATGTTTTTATGTATGTGGAGGCCGATGTAGTCCCCTAGTTCCCCACTCCTCGAGGCTCATGTAGTGAGGTGAAGAGGAGTAGAGCAATACACGTCTTCAATAGGGGGCCGAGGGTTGACACCTTTTGATCCACAATGGGGCGATGCCTCGTTAAAAACCTCATTAGGAAAACTCCGTAGGAAAAAATTCTAACGAGGGAAAAAGAGCACACCGGATCCCCCAAAATGAACTCCAAGGGGTGAACCCTTCGGCCTAGGTGTGGAGCTGCAGCGGTGTCCGTCTGCTGAGGGGACGCCCGCCTAGTGGTGAGGACGACGGCGCTGATGAGCTGGTTCGAATATGAGGACAAGGTGATAGACGCCTGTCTGAATATGAGGACGACGATGGTAATGAGCCGTGCATCATATGAAGGCAACGGTCGCTATCCAGGAAGGGAATGGCGAGCCCGGTCGCTATAACAGTACCTCGGCGTTGGGAGCTGATCTCGAGATATGAGGACGACGGTACTGAGGGGCCGGTCCAAAATCCATGCTACGGTCGCCATCCGGTAAAGGAATGGCTAAGACCGGTCTTTGAGATGTAGGATCATGCAGAGGCTGGGAGGCCGTTCGTGATCTGAGAATAAGGCGATGATGAAACCATTCGTCAGGTAGAGACGACGGTCCCCATCCTGGAAGGGATGGAGAGCCCGATCGTTGGCTCAAGACACTCGGCGCTGAGGAGGCCGGCCTTGAGATGAAGGATCACATTCAGACCGAGGGGTCTGCCGTGAACTAAGGACGAGGGTGCTGATGAAGCCTCTCATCGCATGAAGGTGAGGGTCGCCATCCAGGAAGGGAATGGCGAGCCCGCTTGCTAGCTCAAGCCCCTCGGCGCTAAGGAGGTCGATCTTGAGATAGATAATCACGCCTTGTCCGAGGGGCCGGTCGTGATGTGGTGAAGGGCAAGGCGTTGACGCCAGACTGAACATGACGTTGGCAAAGCCATTCTAATGATGAGGGACGGCGCTGGGCGCTCGTCCGAATGTGAGGGACGGCGCTGGGCGCTCGTCTGAAGATGAGGGACGGCACTGGGCGCTCGTCTGAAGATGAGGGACGGCGCTGGGCGCTCGCCTGAAGATGAGGGACGGCGTTGGGCGCTCGTCTCAAGATGAGGGACGGCGTTGGGCGCTCGCCTGAAGATGAGGGACGGCGCTGGGCGCTCGTCCCCTGATGACGATGGTGCTGGTGAAGCCATTCGTCATATGAAAGACGACGTTGGACGCACGTCATTTGATGATGACGGCGTTGATGAAGCCACCCATCATATGAAGGACCAGGCTCTGACCCTGGCTTGAAGATGAAGGGCGGCGCTGGACGCATGTCCCTTGATGAAGATGGCATCGATGAAGCCGTACGTCATATGTAGGATCAGGCTTTGATGCCGGTCTAAAGATGAAGGACGTCGTTGATGAAGCCCGTCCTTTGATGAAGGATGGTGTTGGATGCCTGAAGATGAAGGACGGCGTTGGACGCCCGTCCCCTTATGACGATGGCGCTGGTGAAGCCGTTCGTCACATGGAAGACGACGTTGGACGCACGTCCTTTGATGACGACGGCGTTGATGAAACCGTACATCATATGAAGGACCAGGCTTTGACGCCGGGCTAAGGATGAGGACGGCATTGGGCGCACGTCCCTTGATGGTGAAGGCGTTGATGAAGCACTTCGCCGTGTAAACTCAAGGCTCTCGGCGCTGAGGAGGCCGGACTTGAGATAAATTATCACGCCGAGGCCAAGGGACCGGGCGTGGTTTGAGGATGACGGCGATGATGACGCTGGTCTAAATAAATGATGACGAGGCATTGATGAAGCCATTCGTCATGTAAGCTCAAGGCTCTCGCCGCTGAGGATGCCAGTCTTGAGATAGATGATCATGCTGAGGCTGACGGGCCGTTCCTTTTGAGGACGATGAACGCCCGTCCCCTTATGACAACGGCGCTGGTGAAGCTGTTCGTCATATGAGAGACGATATTGGATGTGCGTCCTTTGATGACGACGACGTTGATGAAGCCGTTCGTCATATGAAGGACCAGGTTCTGACCCTGGCTTGAAGATGAAGGGCGGCGTTGGACGTACGTCCCTTGATGACGAAGGCGTTGATGAAGCACTTCGTCGTGTAAACTCAAGGCTCTCGGCGCTGAGGAGTCCAGCCTTGAGATAAATAATCAAGCCAAGGCTGAGGATCCGTTCGTGATATGAGGACAACGACGATGATGAAGTCGATCATCATACAAGCTCTAGACTCTCGGCGTTTAGGAAGCCGGTCTTTGAGATAGATGATCACACTGAGGCTGAGGGGGCGTTCATTTTGAGGACGAGGGTCGCCATCCAAGAAGGGAATGGCGATCCCGCTCGCTAGCTCAAGACGCTCGGCGCTGAGGAGGCCAGTCTTGAGGTGAAGGATCACGTTGAGACCGAGGAGTCTGCCGTGATCTGAGTACGACGACGCTGATGAAGCCAGTTGTCTGAAGATGAAGGGCGGTGCTGGGCGCCTGTCCTTTGAGGATGATGGTGCCGATGAACCTGTTTGAAAATGAAGGACGACGTTTGGACGCTCGTCTGAAGATAAGGGACGGCACTGGTGAAGTCGATCCTTTGCTTAAGGACATGGCGTCACGTCTGTCTGAAGATGAGGGACGGCGCTGGTGCTCGTCTGATTCGCATGTATGGTCTTGCTTCGTCCATAATGCATAGTATTTGCCTGATATGTACTTAGCCAAATATGTGGCTTGATTTGTGGGGATTTTATTTTTTATCGCTCAAGGCCGAAGAGTGCGCGGTCCTTGGCTTCCCTCTTTTGATTTGTGGGGATTTTGCTCGAGGCCGGCGAGTGCACGGTCCTCGGCTATCCCTCTTTTATTTGTGGGGATTTCGTCGAGGCCGGCGAGTGCACGGTTCTCGGCTGTCCCTCTTTTATTTCTTCCTCTACTGCTATGAGCGAGGAGTGGGGGTCCTTCTTTCAGGCACGACCGAGGGGGTTGCTATTCCCTCGGCCGATAGGGAATCCAGGAGGGCAGCTGTCCGGCCTCTGGCGCTGGATCGTCCCTTGATCTTGGGGGGTCCCGTCGTCTATTTACGGCGCGGACTAGGCTTTTGGTCGGTTACCGACGGCTGCCGTTTCCCAACCCCAAGTGTGGGGATTTTGTCATCTCGGCCATTCTTTCAGGCCTGTCGTAATGCGATTTAGCGCGAAAACGACGCAATGAGCTTCTCGTTTCAAGATGTGGGCCATTTTGCGGGCCCCTCGTCCTGG